AAAATGGAATGATCTTGTTCAATATGTGTATCCTCTAAGCGCATTTTCACCGTGTATAGGGAACGCAATAGTAAATTTACTATTTAGATGAACTAGAACGCGCTCTAATTCACTATTGTTTTGTTTTTGTTTTTTTGGACAAACACATGAAACTAAACATACAAGTTATAAAAAAAGGTTATCATCTGAAACCCACTAACTTATTGCAAAAAAATTATTCAGCATCCTGCAAGTCCATATTTTGTAAGTGTTGGATGAAAGCTAGTTTTGCCATCTCCATAGGACGAACTCCCACTCTTTTCTTCACCACTCCATGAGTTGCCAAATGGGCGTGCCTATTTATTGCGCTGCAATCGGTGTCACTTATCCCACAGCGCGCTGACCGCGACAATATTTGCATATTCCCACACAGTAGCCCCTCAACCGGCTAACTAAGAAATGCCGCATGCTGAATCGTATTCGGTAAGATACCCTCGCACGGAAAAGTCTGTACCTTCTTATGATGAGCTATACTTGCCTGCTTCAACTAGCCAAAAATCGCTTCTCAAAGCTTATGATATCGATTTATCTGTGCGTGACGGAGCTTTATCAACTGCACCGACTCAAATGGAATATATTTGTGCATTTGACGGCACCTACAAAACTAGAAGGTCTTATGTTGCAAAGTTAGATCTACCATTGATTGTCAAACCTTTGCGACAGTATGGAAGAGAATGCACACCTAGGGAGAAGTATCGCAGTGATGAAAATTCTTCGGTTGATGTGCACTCTAATTGTGCGGTAGCACCCCTCATCTGCCGCCGACGCACTCTGAATGGAGTTGACGACATGAGAGGCAAGTGGTACTCAAGTTCAGTGGATGGAGCTCTAGAATCCTCCACTCTCCCCAAGAACTTTCTTCGAAAACCATCAATCTTGCATGCTGCTGCTCCAGTAAAAGTGCAAGTGATACCGGATGATGATTTGCAAGCTTCTACTCCACCGCCAAAGCCTGCAAGGAATTTCACTCAACTCGATGCTCTATCAGAGGGACGGCGGGACTCTGAGCCGGAGTCTGCATCCGAGTTGTTCATCTGCACTGCTAAACCAGTGCTGGCCATGAATGTGATCAGTGCTGCATCCATGAATGAAGATGCTGAACATCCTGAATTTGCGCACTTAACTTCAGTGAAAAATTCTTTTGGAAAAAGCTCTTATAAGCAGAACACTACTGAAGTTACTACCACAAAATTTACTCCAAAACGCCACACCCGGTCTTTATTAGCCAGCTGTGAAAAAAAGACAGAAACAAAAAGGCAATTAATGCATGAAGAAAATACCCATAAAGTCTTGCACTATTGCAAAAACGATGTTTACCAGTCGGACCTCAAGGAGTACGAAAAAACTGTTTCCCTTGTTCCAAAGGCTCTCTCGGATCCTAAAGGGGCAAGCGAATTCTTCGATGAAACTCAGAGCGACAGCGATAACGACTTGGAACGCGGAGAAGACCCGGCGAACAGGTTTGCGATATCTCGAGCGACGGTGGAGGGGAAGACTAGCCGTACTTCCAAATTTTAGAAATGTACAAAGTTTTTTTTAGCAAAAGATACAGTCTGGTGTTGAGAACGCAAGTTGCACTACGGGTAAAGATTATTATAGGTGAGAAAAAAATGTATTTTCCGTTTTCCAGATTCTATGATAAATTTTTCAGAAAAACTTCTCTCAAATACCGGCCGAGATCAAAGACGAGCATTATTCTCTTTAAAAAAAATCTTTCAGGTAATTTTTGAAGAATCTTTTGTTGTTTTAACATTGTGACCGTTTATGGTTTAGTATTGTATTTTTAGATTTTGATTTCGAATCTTAATTTACTTATTTATTATTCATGTGATCTCTTCCTAAACAAAGTCCATTACATTTCTAATCACCTTGCATACACGTTTATGCTGGTAATTTAAAGCTCGACCAGCAGCTTTCTTTTCTTAGATTTTAGGAAGCGCAAAGCTTAGCTGTCTAGTAAAGAACTTTGTTTTGGTAAATTTGGGCTCGAAAAAGACTATCATGCTTTTAGCATGCTAACATAAACCTTTATGTTGGCTGCTATAAGCTTATAGCAAAAAGCACGGATTACCACTATATTGAAAAAATGATAATAGGAATTAACTATTAAAAGGTTATATTTGTGGTTAGCACACTCGAGGTATCAATTTCGAGCAGTCTTAACGAGAAATGCGAAAACCAATAAATTAATAAAATCATTAAAAATCTTTAAGATATTATATTCCTAATCAGCGTATAAAATTACCTTTGTAGACCCATTCTCATCAGCCTAGGGTTCGAAAAATCAACAGCTCGATAAAACTAATATATATATATATATATATAT